CAGGGCACGTCTCTAGGATGAAGGATCACCGCCTCCCCAAGATCGTGTTTTACGGTGAACTTGCCACCGGTAGCCGCAAGAGAGGTGCCCCAAAGAAGAGATATAAGGACTCCCTGAAACAATACCTTAGCCTTGGCCATACTGACTAACATCAGTGGTCTGCCGATGACACAACCAAGCCATCCAGAGGGACCTTGACACACTTATGAGGTGGGCTGATGGCAACCTTATGAAGTTTAACCATGCCAAGTACAACATCCTACACCTGGTCGGAGCAATCCCAGGCACAGCTACAGGGTGGGCAAAGAAGAGATTCAGAGCAGCCCTGTGGACAAGGACTTGGGGGTGCTGGTCGATGAGAAAATGAACATGAGCCGGCTTCAGTGTGCGCTTGCAGCCCAGAAAGCCAACCGTATCCTGGGCTGCATCAAAAGGAGTGTGACCAGCAGGTCGAAGGAGGTGATCCTGCCCCTCTACTCTGCTCTCGTGAGACCTCACTTGGAGTATTGTGTGCAGTTCTGGTGTCCTCAACATAAAAAGGACATGGATCTGTTGGAACAAGTTCAGAGGAGGGCCACGAGAATGATCAGGGGACTGGAGCACCTCCCATATGAAGATCGGCTGAGAAAGTTGGGACTGTTCAGCCTGGAGAAGAGAAGGCTGCATGGAGACCTCATAGCAGCCTTCCAGCATCTGAAGGGGGCATATAGGGATGCTGGGGATGGACTCTTCATTAGGGACTGTAGCGAAAGGACAAGGGGTAACGGGTTAAAACTTAAACAGGGGAAGTTTAGATTGGATATAAGGAGGAAATTCTTTCCTGTTAGTGTGGTGAGGCACTGGAATAGGTTGGCCAGGGAGGTTGTGAATGCTCCATCCCTGGCAGTGTTCAAGGCCAGGTTGGAGGAGGCCTTGGGTAATATGGTTTAGAGCGAGGTGTCCCTGCCCATGGCAGGGGGGTTGGAACTTGATGATCTTAAGGTCCTTTCCAACCCTAACTATTCTATGATTCTATGATTCTATATTCGATATCATACTGATGGTAGCCTATTCAATCTAAGGCGACTGAAGGCCCACACTAAGACCCTAAATCATTTTGTCCATGAACTGCTTTTTGCTGATGATGCCACCCTTGTTGCCCGCACAGAAGCACCTCTGCAGCGTATATCATCTTGCTTTGCAGAGGCGGCTGAGGTTTTTGGGCTGGAAGTCAGCTTGAAGAAGACAGTAGTCCTCTACCAACCTGCACCGCAAGAAGATTAACAGCATCCCCACATTACCATTGGCAAGTCAGAGCTTAAGACAGTTCAGCAGTTCAGCTATCTGGGCAGCATCATTTCGTCAGATGCCACGATCGAGAAAGAGATAGACAACAGAATAGCAAAGGCATATAGAGCCTTCAGAAAACTCCATAAAAGAGTCTGGTGCAATAAACACCTGAAGAAAGTACAAAGATCAGTGTCTATAGAGCCATTGTATTGTCTACTCTTTTATATGGATCTGAATCATGGGTCATCTACCGTCATCACCTGCGACTCCTGGAACGCTTTCATCAGCGCTGCCTCCGTACAATTCTAAACATCCATTGGACTAACTATGTGTCTAATGTCACTGTCCTCGAACAGGCAGGGGTCACCAGCATCAAGGCCATATTGCTGAAATTGCAGCTGTGCTGGGCAGGGCACGTCTCTAGGATGAAGGATCACTGCCTCCCCAAGATCGTGTTTTACGGTGAACTTGCCACCGGTAGCCGCAAGAGAGGTGCCCCAAAGAAGAGATATAAGGACTCCCTGAAACAATACCTTAGCCTTGGCCATACTGACTAACATCAGTGGTCCATCTTGGCCTCCACTCGGGAGACTTGGAGGCACACCATACATAATGCTGTTTACTCCTTTGAGAGCTCACAAAGAACTAGTCTCGAAGAGAAAAGACAACGCAGAAGGAATCGCGCCCCACCTGTACCACCCAAGGAGGCCTTCTGCTGTGCTTTTTGTAGCCAGATTTGCCTATCCCGCATTGGCCTTCTTAGCCATCAGCGCGCCTGTAGTAAGCATGGGTAAAGCCCTTCCCAAATCTTCTTTTGCGAAGTCAAGCAATGATGATGAGCACCCTTGGCTTGTTAGAAAAAAGAACTGTAAAAGCAACAGTATTATTTTAAAATTATGTTTCTTCTTTAGTGATTAAAAAAAAAAAAAATCTTAACATGATTCTCTGTGCATTTTAACCTTTTCCACCTTGGATTCTGTGCTTTTTTCCCCGTATTCAATTTTTGTTTTGTTAGAACTGCAGCCTTTCATAATGCATTATTTCTGATGTAGTGGAATGACAGGGATCTTTTTACAACATTAACTTCTATTGCAAACACTATGTTCTAATTTATATTTGCTGATTAACTCATTATCCAGAACAGTATGACTCAGAAGTGCTACACATTACTACTACTACATCATCCTTAAATCCACTACAGCCCTAGTGAAGCTGCTTGCAATAACCCAGCATTACTCAGACCCAGTGGGACTTTGGATTCCTTCATATTTCTCTTAAACTCAAACTCTATGCTGCATCACCAACTTACAAAAATGCAAAACCACATGTCTTCTTACAGTCCAGTCACCTTAAAAATTCCCCTGTAAGCGGCTGCCCAAAGAGGAAGAATAAGATTCAATAATGAATGAAACCTTCTTTGTCAGAACCAGAGGAAGCTGAGCATTTCCCAGTTAGGCCCAAACTCTTCTTTAATGGCTTATAAGCATGGTGCTCATTGTCTCTGTCTAGATCCAGACAGAGCTGGGGAGGAGTCTGGGCTTTGTTGGAGAGTGTTTTTTGGAGAGCGGAAAGTAACTTCTTGCAATTAAAGTTGCCTGTAATTTCTGGCAGCAGCCACAAGAGCAAGTGACCCCACCATCAGTGTCAGCTTTCAGCACAAGTACAAGTACCTTGCCCTGAGAATAGCAATCAGGGATTTATTATCAAAGTCAGCTGAGCCCAAACTTTGTTCCTTCACAGAGGAGAAAAGGAACATGGTATTTAGTGGAGATACCCTCCCCCTGGGGATGGAGGCCTAATCTGCTGACCTGCCCTGAAGCTACAACACTAAGGTCTGGTGCTTGTCATAACGTTGGGATCCAGGATCTTGCCAGAGCTTGTCTAGCTGTCAGACTATTGCACCTCTTCTACCTGGGTACCAACAGTGCTGCTATAGGTAATCCAGAACATTTCAAAGTTGACTGCAGAGCTCTGGGGCAGGGGTAAGGCATGGAGGCCTCCTGGGACCTGCTGCTGAGCTTTTAGGGGTTGAGGAGGAGCCAACTCATCTGTCAGGACAATACTTGGTTGTGTTGCCGGTGGTATAACCACAGCATTCACATCTGTGACCGCAGGACACTCAGGTCATGTACAAAGTACTTCAAATGCACAATAGCAAAACTGGCACCAGTGTAGACATAACAGCAACACAGTAAAGACTTTAATTTCTCCCTTTTATCTTCTTACCAACTTTGTTTCTTTATTCTGAAATAGAAATTTTTGCTATGCTGCAACTCCAATTAGTGCTCCAAAGCTGCCTTCAGGACTCAAAGTCATATTACAGCAGCTCTTTAGTGATGGAATGTTAACGATATTATGGAAAAACCTATGAGAACTGGGTAGTACCTTTTGAATGAAGGTAATCAGTCATCAGCAGAGCAATGCAAATGAGTGCCAGTGCCCGTCACAGCAGCTGTATGACTGCCATGAGCAGCTTCATGGGACCTCATGAGTAAGAGAGCACAGATAAGAAGGTAGCAGCTTACATAGAACATATTTGAATCTTGTTTGAGGAAAAGAAGTGTCCTTCATGATCATCTGTGGTTATATATTATTACTGTGTGTGCAGCGTATTGCTATCTGTGATGCTGTATAAATACAAGGGGCTTACTGAATAGTGTTACACCTCAGGAATCACATCTCCTGCAAAGAGGAGAACATCTGCAAAGACTCTATTGAGGAGGAATTATCTGTTGCAGCAATTTGAAGTACAAAAAGCAATCATGACAGGAGCCTTGAGACTTCCCCGAGGCTCAGCTGCACAGTTGGAGAATCTAAAGATATTCTTGATCTCTGTCCTGAAGAAGAGGGTCTGATATGTAACCCATATGAGTCACTATTGTTGGAGGAGAACCATAAAATACAAGGAAGAAAAAAGAAGTGACTGCATAGGATGGAAAAGAGCAGTCTCACGTTTGATACCTGTCTGTTTGGAAGAGGACATTCACCAGACAGAATATACCAGCTTATACTTATAAAAGATGATCCATTTCATGCATTTGGCTAGTGGATCCTTTCACTTATTTTTGTGACAAGGGTCAGGGATCCCTTCCAGACAATTGTTTGTAGTCTCGCAATGGCAGTCACTAAATGGCAATCTGTACCCCAGTTACAACTACCTTCTTCTTTCCCTAGCTTTTGGTTCTGTGCTGGTAAAGTACTCTGATAAAGTCAGAGACCACAGCAGCAAAGTTTATACTTATTTATAGCATTAGAAGGATGCTTTCTCTACCTTATCTTCCAGACTCACCTGACAAGCCAGTGCCTAACATGACTTCCTTATATCAAAGGAAGTAAGTGTGGTACAGTGTGATTGTCCAAGAGATATTTTTTACTTCTGGAAAGCAAATGGAATGTCACCAGGATTCCAGTTGCAGTATGACTTGCATTTTACTTCTTCTGTGCAATATGCTAGAACTGACACTTGTTTACATCTATCAGTCCCCACAGGGCCTCTATAGCGCTCAGATTTTGTCATGGGCCATGTCTCAGGTTTTAGCCTGAGCATAAAGTAGCTTTCAAGACAAAGGCAAGTATGCGTCAAGAAACTAGGAATAAAGAACTTGTGATATGCCTGGGTAGTATTTGGCAGTACAAGTCTAATCCACCTCTGTGAGAAGACAGTTTGCAAGTCAAATGTTTTTGAACAGAAACAAGAGAGAGTAAGTCACAAATACAAGCAACAGCAGGAATCTTCTGAAAAGATACATTGATGTGATAATTGTTTTGGGATGGGATGAACAAAAGCTGCAGTTTATTCTTATCTTACACACATGGGCACAACATACAGAACCAGCACAAATAACTTACTTACAAAATCTCATACACCATGCTTCCTCTTGAATAGCTTCTATTAAGTTACAACACCATAACAAATCAGGTATTTAGTTACGACAGATCTCCCAGACATGGATAGTCTCACATTCAAGGAGTTATTATTTTTGTAAGCTAGTTAGACAAACATCATTTTTTACATGTTTAATACAGTACAGTATCCTTAACAGAATTCAAGATATTCACAATGAGAATTGAATACTTTATAAAACATCAGAATTCCTCATCTCAATACAGGTCCACATTCACTCCAGCCCTGTCTGGTTTAGAGATGCGTTACAAGTCATCTTTACTCAAATTTCCAAGCTAAGCATTGCTTTAAATGAAGCTGTATTTACAGGGTTCTTTTAGACTTAATTATAATGTATTTTCTTCTCTTTTCAATTCCTATCCCCTATCCCCAACAACAACTGTCATTTAGCTGGTAGAAATAGTAACCCTTAAACTGCTATAGAAACTTGGAAAAAAATTGGTGACAACTTGTTAGATGCAAAATGAAAGGTGGTCACAGCCCATCATTAATTCAGAAAGGTGGAGGTTTTTTTTTCTCCTAATGTCAGAATGTCCATTGGAGGCATATGACTCCTTTCATCTGTTGTTTAGAGATAACATACTACTTACGGGCTAACATACAAAACCTCAGTTTTTTTTAATTACAAGTTCTCCAACTCTTTCATGCAATCACTTTCAGTAGAAAGTTCTTTTCTTCCTAGAAATTGTAGCTACTCTAGTTGTGTGGTACTGACTTAAGCTTTCCCAGTCTCCTTTAGATCAAATAGTATCAATTCTCTTATTGACATTGGTGGGTTGACTCACAAGAAGAGTTTTGCTCTGTGATTGTACTTCAAACACTACTGAAGTCTGTAGGCATCTTTCCTTTGATTTGGTGGCTTTGGATTAGCTCTGCTTGAATGTGGCTGGTAAACTCTAGCCCTTAAGCAGTTAGTCAGCTTTCTAAAGAAATAATCAAAAAAGATTCCTCTCTTTTATACATACAATACGCAGGGATTTTTTACATTGAGCATTATCGTAAAAAGCATGTTTATGTTATTTTGAAAATGTATTTTTACAGAAATTTATAAACACTGTTATATCAAACACATTCTCAAAAACTGGAGAAAATACCGACACAAAACCCGGAAGATCCTCAATGGAATTCTTCCAGTACTATTTGTCTACTTGCATATTTCATATTTCAGTGTCCTTTCCTGCAAACATAATTTAGCTATATGTGAACAGGTAAAGTCGACAACAAATCCCCAATAGTTCTGAATAGGACATGTATCTGTTGTTTAATGAAAGTAATTGGACATCTGATGTATGTTTTTTTACCTGGCATGTCCATTCTGTTACTTTTACTCTCATTGAGCAGTACCTTAATTTCCAGATAGTCCCATTCACTTCAGTGGGTTAATCCATTTATACAATAAAATGACGTATGCGAAAATACCGAAAATGATTTCCCACTTTTTAAATCCTTCTGATGTCAACAATTAGCATCATTATATTCTTCCTTATGTGTATTGTAACTGAAAATTATGTAAGAGTAATGTCTGCAAACAATTCTGTATCAGAAATCAGTGTACAAACTTTAGGAAATAATCTGCTTATACTTGTGCTGTAGTTCCGATAGCCTAAAAATTTATCTGATGGGACCAAGAGTAAATTTCACAGGTAAACAATTCATACACTTATGTTAGACTTGATACTCCCCCAGCCTGATGCAGTTTAAGTTTAAACGTATATGTGATGTCACACTAACATTAAATCAGCATGTTATTTTCCCTTACCACCATCAGTTTTCAGTACAATTGGAAACGGACATTGATGCATAAAATCTAAGTGAAACATGCTTTTCAAGTCTTTTGTCTAACATAGTATTGGATAAGTTATAATGTGACCTTGCTTTTCTATCCTGCAAAATTTAAAAAATATATTAAACTTTGTATGTTGGGAGTAGTCTTACTGACTGTAATGGTATTAGTCACAGTTTGGGAAGTGAAACAGCAGAGTCAGGTTTCATTCTCTGTCTTACTATTTTGTTTGTTCTTAAATGAAGCAAAAGAAGAAACAACTTCTCTTTAAGTATTACTGAATTTCTTAAAATATGATTGATGAAAAATCACTGACTGTAATATGCTGTATGTTACCTCATCTAAACTGAAATGCTTTCCCATGGCTTGAAATGCTTAGATTGTAATCCTTGCTAGAGGAAAAAAAAAAACCAAGCCATATATAAACTCAAGTTCTAGCTATACTGTAACATGTACAGTCACCCGTAAAGGAGCCCTTTTAGCAAAACAATGTGTGTTAACTTACTCAATGATTTGTAGAATGTGTCTATTCTGTTCACTGTAATAAAACAAGTTATACGTGTGTGTGTGTGTGTGTGTGTGTGTTAAAAAATTCAGTAATTATAGAGTATTTCTACACATAAAACAACTAGTTGCACATAATGCGATATGTAAAGCAAATTGCTGAAAATCTCTTAAGTCTTTGGGATGATCAAAGTATAAGTAACAAAACCTTACAAATAATGATTGAATTTTCATAAAAGAAGGTTTTTGATGGAGAGGCAGAAGGAATTCCCCTCCTGCTCACCCTTATTCCCCATGGATTTTGCAGACTCAGCCAGTTCCCCAGTAAGCCACAGGTGGTGTTTTAAGATCTATAGATATATTTCAGTGAGGTTATCTTCTGTATAGCAGTATTAATAAGGTTTTCAGTGACTTTTTCATAAAACATAGTCTGATTTTAATGAGTTTATAGTGCTTCAAAAGTTTCAGGCTATTTAAACTCTAAAAGAATACAAATCTGATCCAATTACATTAAAAATTAATGAAATATAAATTCCTTTATTTGCTGTGAAAATTTAATTACCTTCTGGTCTGAAAATTCAATCCAGTTTTTACTCCCCAATCCTCCCTAAAAAAAATCTTGTAATTATACATAATAAAGAAATAAAACTGTTCCTTGCCTATGGATATATGTAGTTCTTCAAGTTCCAACCCCTCTCTAAGCTGCTAACCATCACACAACATATGCCATTTGGCAATTTGTCTCCTAGGGTATTCACAAATTTCTTTCCAGTGCTCCCCACCTGTTCCTTCAGCTGAGCATCCCAAGGTTAACCGGCCAATAACCTCGTTCCTTGACCCCCTATCTGAATCTAAGACCAAAAATTCAATGCTGATATCATCAAGGCCCTCACAAGGAATGTCAAACACAAACAATTCATTGAACACTGCATTAGGGGTGCATTTCTTCACATGGGTTTTCTTTTTAGAAATCCTCTTCTTAGCATGGTACAGATTCACTTTGACATAAGGGTCTGCAATGAAAAGAAACAGCACAGATCAGCTATTGAACAGTGTTGCTTAGAAATTCCTTGATCTAGTTAGTGGTAAATTTCATAACGTACCAACATAATTACATAACAGTGAGGAGATGTTTCAAGTTATTAAAGATGATTCATCTCATCTAATATCTGTGTTTACATCTGAATTTTAGCTCCCTTTATGGTCACCAAAGAAGTAATCAAGATAGTCCAGTTTAGGGCATGATTCATCTGACCACCTTTGCATGCAGTAGAGATGTTATTATGGTTAATGTACTACAGGGCAGGATTTATCTCATGGAGGCACCTATGTTTGATCAGATGCATTGGTGATTTGTTTTATTAGGTTCATTAGGAGATCTCAGCACCAGTGATCAAGGAACCAAGGAGGTTGTCAGCTTCTGAGGAAAAAGTTCCCATCTTCCTAAGGAGATTGAGTTATGCAGTTGTTCTGTGGGGTAAACTGCTAGTTTACTCTGTAGAAATACTACTTCATATTCCTCCCTGTGCACGATTTTTGTTGGGCTGAGGGGAAAGTCACAGAGGAAGTAAGGACTTTCGTGAGTGCAGAATGTTACTGACACACAAATATCTATTGAACCTGCCCTTGCTGATGAACAGCAAATGGTGAAGAACTGTCTGAATTAACTATATACACCGTCTAGGTGTAGCATGCATGCCTGTTCTCTTAGAAGTACTATATTCCTATTAGCAAGGTTGCACTGAGGGAAGCAGAAAAAGCAAACAAAATTTATAGCTTTTCTAAGAAGAGATACAGTAAACAAATATGAAGAAGAGATACAGTAAACCAAAATTTGCATGTGCCGTAGGATCCAGGGGGCTGCTGAGGCTAGAAGGGCTTTTCTTGTCAGGTTATTTTCCCACCTGGGTGAACCTCAGCCAGACTTGGTCTGTTGAGGCCAGCTTCTGCCATGCTGTGTTCATGAAACCTCCACTATCTGCTGTTTTGGGGTTGATTATTGAAAGTATGCATACTATCTTATAGTGTACTGAACTGCTGGGCTCCATTTATATCCTTTTACCTTACGATATGTGAATGAAATTGAGATCAGGAGGACTTTCCTATGTAAAAGGGAGTTGTCTATAGATTTGTTGTATTGGAATCAGGATGTGTAAACGTTTTAAGCAAATGGCAGGATTTCTTGGTATGAGAAGTAGAAGGACTGTATTGTAGTAATTATGGTTCAGTGGTTCCCAAAACTACTTCCTATCCAGCTTCTTAAAAAAAGAAATCCCTCTGCAATGAAATTGGTCCCATACAGAATTAACAGGCAATGTGCTACTACTTGTATAGTCTTTTGTGGTGTACTGCTTGTTTTGTGTGGTTTTATTTTCCTTTGGTATACTTTACATTAAATTTTATTCTGTTATTATGTTATCTGGCATTAATGTAGATCTAAGTGCAATACTAGCATTAACCTCGAAGGAGGTTCCACAGAATGGCACAAGACCAGGAGAAGGCAGTGCAGAAACTGCTCATTAGTGAACCCCAAGTACAGCTCATGATAAAGCATCGGTGTTAAGTTACAACCTACTGCCAGTACTGGCATAGTTCACCTTTTTGTGACGCAAATAAGTGTTAGTGCTCTGTGGGCCAGATTCAGCACAGATCTAACTGGTTGCTTTTCTTGGTGCTAAGCTGAAATAACCCATGTGATGATCTCACTCAACACTGATCTACAAATAAACTTTTCTTTTTTCTTTTTTCTTTTTCATAAATAAATCCTTTTGTTTCTGAAAGCACCATCCCATACTTCTGGCAGATGGGTTTTGTTCAAGGCAATCACAAAACTCATCCGTTTCCACTGTGAACAGATGTCATGGTTTTTTAATGTGATTGAAGAACAAATCTGTAAAATACATACCCTGGAAAATAAAGCATTGACCCAGATATAACAAAATTAATAGACTGCAAATAACAGAGAACATTTCTGAATTCATGGGATATTTTTCATCTTTGAAATGCCACATTTCAGCTCACTTCTGTCTGTGTGGTTTATGTTCTTGGGGCATATTCATGAGTAAAACCATTACCTGATAATCCTGACACATCAGATTTAGGTAGATGCCTGGCTTTTAAAACAACCACAGTAAGCGTGTTTGTTGTAGACTGATAACAGAGGGAGATCAGTAATTCTCCACGCCCAGATGATTTCTGAAGAAATTAAAAAAAAAAAAAAAACAAACTATCTATAAGCAATTTATATTGACCACGCTTTAAAACAGAATTAAGAAGATTTATGAAATGTCACATCACTGTATTCTCAGAAATAGTGTAAAAGGATAAAATTTGTGGAGATATGTTGCTTTACATAGCAAATATAATTTCCCTCAACTGTAGTTATATAACTCTTCTTATGATTGGCTATTAGACTGAACAAAAATAAGTAAATAAATGAAAATATAGGTTGACATGACATCATTGTCTTCAGATATGAGAAATTAAACGTTACATCATAAGAAAAAGTCCTAGTGAATGTAAAAGATATTAAGGAAATCAGAATTTCATATAAATATATTGAAAGAAAATATAGCAAAGGTAAATAAAAAGAATCTTCACTAAAGTTTTGTAAACAGGAAGGATTCAAACGGTCAGTGAATTTTTACCCCTGACACTTTCTGAAGTAGCCTCGTATACAAGAAATAAAGATGAGATTGAAGACTTTCCCTATGATTATTAGATTTAATTTGTAGGAGTATTTCACTTCACAAAATAAAGCAAAGCAAAAGAAACAAAAATAATGCCTTATATTCCAGAAAACCTAATAGGTTATCAACAAAATATCACTGACATAGTTATAGTTCTAGTATAGTGACAGAATGGCAAAATAACCATTAGTTATAGGTATGTTGTCTGGTAGACATTTATTTGATTTGGCAGTGTGCTTGCTTTCTGAAAGCAACCAAATTGAAAGTCAATACACATTCCACTTCCTTAGCAGAGATTAGGAGACAAGGGTGTGATGCATGTGCACTGCTGTGATTCAGATGTGGTGGTTGTAAATGATCTTTACATTCTGAACTCATACGATATAATATGAAACATTTTTATCCCAGTGAAGTCAGTATGTTTTGCCATTGACTTCAGTAAGTCTTTGGCTTCTCGCTTGTCTCTCACTATCCTTAATAGATCTGCAGCATGTGTCACTGTTCCTAAGAGAGAAGGGAGTAATAGCACTGAAGTGCAAGAACATACTACTGCATCAACACTGGTCTCTAACAGGTTCCAATTCCTTAAATGAAGACTGCATTCACTAAGAATTAGCTATAAAAACCATGTGGTTGAAATGAAAGATTTACACTGACTTCAATAACTTTTAAGAAAGAATGGTATCAAACAGAAAAGGAGAGGGAGAAGTGGAGCAATGCATATGTTTGCATTCTTTTCTCTTAAAGCAAATTAATGTGGATTGAGGCCATTTTACCTAATGTAAATGTGTCCACTCAAACCTGCTGGAACCAGATGAATAAGCATGTAGAGTTTAGGACATTAGCAATTTCTTGCAACATGCTCATTTTAATGTTCTTTCATTAGATTTGTGTAATTGCTTCCTCATATTGTCATTATGAAAGCATCTCAATGACTTGCATGATTGCTTTGGTCCCTTTTCTTTCCAAAATGGCAGCAGCATTACATAGGAATCATAGCTAACACTAGCACAATGCTTTTAATGTTTAAATAAGAAATATGTTACCCTAACATTTCTTTTGATGATCTCTCTGTCCATTAGCAGTCTTCCTTCTGACAGTTCAATTCCTGCGAGGGGAATGAGGACTTCTCCAATGACATCATCTCTGGAAAACCTGTCAAAGCTCAAGATCATAAAGTGAAGTGTTAAGTCTTGAATTTGGCTATAGGGGATCCCATAAAATGTGAAAGTTTCATCGAAAGCTGGATCTAAAGTTTTTCTCAGCACTCTGGTTTTCACTTTGTGCTTTTTTTCAGGGAGGATGGTCATTTTAATGTAAGGATCGGAAGTCATTGACTGCTCATCCATTGCTGGCAGCCCACGTGCTTCTTTGATGTTCACTACAAATGCTTTTTTCTCAAAGTTGTACTCTAAGGAGAAAAACAGGGTTCCTAGCTTGTCTTGTTTATCTTCAGAAGACAGGGAAGTGATTGACTTTAAACTGTCAGGGGATACTGAATCTTTCTTCCTTTCTGCAAAGTGCTCAGGAGACAAATTTTCAAGATCTGAAGAGCTCTGGATTTTAGGGGTTGCTTTGGGGAAGTTGCCATTTAGATCTCTCTTCTCCAGGTCAAGATGGAGAGAATTCTTTGGCATAGATGACTTGTTCTTTGATTCACTTTTATCATCTGCTCCAAACTTCTTCTTACTGTTGAGATTCTCAGGGTAAATATCAACCCCCTTCAGAACATGGACAAACTTATACGGAGGTGTCTTATTGGATTTGGAAGATTTACGCTGGCAGCAGATCCAAGCAAAAAGGGAGACAGAGAAGACAAGGCCAAATGCACTAAAGATCCCAACCACTGTAGGAATTTCATCTGCAAATCAAATAAATAGCAACAAGCACATAAGCAGTAGTACCTTGGACTCTGTGTGATATTTAGTAAGGTAGTACTTTAGTAAGAAAAACAAAACCTGACATGAGATGGTAATCCCAGGATCAACAGACTGAAAGTGCTTTTCACTGTACATATTGCTCGCCACCTGCTGGCATAAATGTGTAGTAGTCCTATACTAGGGCGTGCTTGCTGTGTTAGTACTTTTCCATACACGGTGTTTGGAAGGAAAATACTATTCCCATCCTAATAGTAATAACCATTAGTAACTGCTTGACTATCTCCTCTCTTTCTGTGTAGTTTCTGAGTTTACATGTCTGGGAGTAACAGCAATTTTCAGAAGGTTTCATCTTTCAGTTTGTGGAGCTTTGTTGGCTAGATAAAACAGATTCCCAAATACACATTACTTAGAGATACATCACCTGCTTTTCACACTGTTTCAAAGAATACTTTCTACACTCAATTAACTCATTTTTTAATGGTCTAACCCTATAATTGCCTGGAGGTACCTCTTGAAAGAACTGAGTTTAACTGGAGGTTGTAACACTTAGCAATATCAACGAGATTTTTAGTACTTTGCAGGATTAAGTCTAACAGGAAAATTTGGAATAATTGTATACCAAGTGTCTTTTTCCCATGTGACACTGGGCAGTCATATGTGAGTTCAAAGCTGAAAAAGCTCTTAAGTGTATAATTGATAACCACTAAGTTTTGCATTTAAGATGTCATGAATTGAGTCTATGGGGCATTTATAGGAAGGGTCACTACTTTTTAGGGGTGTGTAAGAAAAATATGAAAACATAATTATTTTCTACCTCGACATGGATCCTGTACTTAAAGTGAATAATGAGAAAACTGAGCAAGTGTTGCAACCTCAGTTGTCATATGGATACATTAGTCACGTATAGAGTATCATTAGCCCTTCAAAACATGCATCAGAGGATAAGTGAGAACACCTAATTGGAAATCCAGTTTTACCCATAAGTAACATTATTTAAGTGAGTTTAAACCTCTCACAACATAAAAATCAGAGCTTAACCTTTATTGCCTGCAACAGAGGAAGACCAGTACAATATTAATGGAATGACATTGTGCATAAAGGCAATTATGTAACAGTTCTGTTTCTCTTGCAAATGAGTATCAGACCATTCTGGATGAGAAAAGCAAATCTATCCCCCTTTATGTATTACTAAAACAGCTTTGTCCAGGTAAAAGCTGAGCATATAGATGTGCCCCCACTATACCTTTGCTTTTTACTGAGGTGATTTTAAAAAATCTACAACAATATTATCAGAGCAAAGTAGGACATAGTGTTACAGCACAGAAAGGGTAAGGCCTGTCTATTAATTTCTTCTGATAATGTTAATGTAACTTTCCCCTTGCCTACAAGCTCTATCAGTCTGCATGCTTAATTGTAAGAACTTAACGAAATGCCTGAACATTGTATACATATCCAAAACCTATTTTTTAATAAGTTAAGCATGTGGCTCTGAGTTTCAAGAACTCCCTGAGCTGCAAAAATCTAAATATACGTGGTAGAAAGGTAGAAAGCAAGAAGTAATTGAAAAGTAATCAGAATACTTTAGTAGGTTTTAAGAATGATTTACACGTTTGTTATACTTTTTCATGAGATGATGGACTTTTTGCAGTAATGGATATTATGCTATACTTTAATCCTACAGCTACTGAAAGCAGTGGTAGAATCAATTTGATGCTTAAAATATTAATTTGCTTTCTTAAATAAGTAATTAGATAAGCATGATGTCATAAGTGTAGCTAGAAGTATCAAATGGGTGGGGTAGGAAACGATGAAATGGTAACTGAAATGGGTTTATATTTATAACTAAGGATGTTGAAACCTGCATTTCTTGTAGATTTCATAATATAAATGAATGGGTTAACACTGAAAACAGTGTATTAATAGAAAATATTACCTATTGATTCTGGGAGAAGTTTTTATTTCACTTACATGATATAAATCTGGAGTCATTTCACTTAAGTCAATGGAACGATCCTTGAATTAAACCACTGCTAAAGCAAATATAATCTAGATGACAGTCAATATTTGTAAAATAGAGTTCAGAAACATTTCTACTTGCTACTTTTCTGAGTAAAAGTGTATCTATTTTATCAGTGCATACATATGGCTGTCTCTGACACTGCTGGTATCACAGTTAATCACCCTACATCCAGAAATTACTAAACTGAAAAGTTCATTGTTATCATTGCTATCCTCAATGAACTCAGCTCGACTAAAATGCAGCTGTTCAGCTAAAAACACTGGGATACTATATTTTCATCTTCTTATCAATCTCCTTTACAGGACTACCTTTCACTTTAACATTTGACAAGTCCTTCTCTACAAGAAAATAAGAATGTCAGTTATTCCAAGAATGTCTTGAGCAAAGGTTTTGGCACAGGATGCATTTGCATTGTTTAACTGTAAAGCCACGCTACTTTAACCAAGACAGAGAAAACAACCCCAAACCTCTCTCATCTGAAAACACACTTCCATAAACCATTTCTACTGGCTGGGGAACAGATAGGAAGGAAGGGAGACAGAAAGAAAGAAAATTCACACAACTTCTGAGACTAAGGAGAACTGAGGGAAAACGGGTTCCTCCCAGCAAGATGCGTGCTGGGATGCGCTGGGTGGCTCAGCAGAGGCTGCTTGCATGCAGTTCTCCCGGGAAGGGGAGCAGTCCCCAGCTCCGAGGGCGAGAGTTGGGGCCAGGACGCACTTACCGAACTGCTGGCGGCTGGCCGCGATCGGAGCCATGTTGGCGGCGTGCGCTGTCCGCGGTGCTGGAGCCGCTGTCCGCGGTGCTGGAGCCTCCGTCCGGACCGCGGGAGCCTCCTCCCAGAGTGCCGGGAGACCTACCCAGAGCGCTGAATGCGCTGCCCTGCTGTTCCCCTGCTCTGCGCTCTCACGGCACCCGGGCAAGCGCCTCTTCCAGCGTGTTTTTTGTAGGGCTTTTATTAAAAAAAAGAAAAAAAGAAAGAAAAAAAGAAAACAACAACAACAACAACAAACAAGACCCGGAGACAAGAGCTAGTGGGGAAGGTGAAGGAGGAGGTTGCAAGGGGACTGGAGAAGACGGGGGAGGGGAAGCTTCGGTCCTCCCCTTTGCTCACTGATTTGCAACCCCCTTCCTGTTTTGGCTTTTCTGAGTAGCTCAGCTCGGAGACTGAAGACGTGGTTGAAACCCAAATTGACGCAATCCTGACGCTACAGGGCTGAAATCAGCACCTTTTCCACCTCCCATCCCCCCTCCCCAAACACCACACCCTCCCTCCCTTCCTCCCTCCCTCCCTTCCTCCTTCTTTCTCCCTCCCGCCCACCCCCCACCCGCACACCCCCTCCTTCCCCTTTCTGAGGATTGAACATACACTCATCGATTATTTTAACTGTCCTGCTGCAGGATATGAGCTCCCACCCTCCATCGGACACAGACAGTGAAATGCTAATGTCTGTGATTCAGTGCACCTTCTGTAATACACGGGTGTGTTTGTTTTGCTGGGTTAAGATTATTTATTTGCTTATTTATCTATCAGCTGGACAGCCACAACAGTGTGAAGGAGATGCCAACTCAGAATGTCCAGACACCTTGGCTCCAACTGCAAGGCACACATTTTTCCTATGACTGTTGTTATTCACATACTAGATTTGAGTCATAAAAACTCTAATGTGCCTTCTCCCTGTCCCTCTTCCCTGCTTCTTCCCACTGTCCACCCCCACATAAAGAGTCAGACCCCACTTTGGAAATTCTTTTGACCTTCCTGTATGCCAAGGGAAATAACTGAATTTATCTAAATACTAGGTTTTGCTAGGTTTAGATGTCTGTCTCCCAGTCTGGACTGAGAACACGGTGGCTGCAGCAGGAATGAAGAAAGCAGGGCTGCATGTAACTAGAACTGCTATAGTGTGTAGTAACCCGAGCTAACTCCTGGTGCAGCAGAGCTGCAAAAGCCAGCATCTGGCATCTGATTTCTCCTGGATTCAGAAGGAATCAGAGCAGCCAAGTTTGAAGCCCAATTGCTAATTCTGCTGCATAAATGGGAAACAGGTGTTGTTGCCTTTCTAAATTACAAAATCCAGATACAGGCATAGGCTGGCATGACCCTGCTCCACAATTAGCCACTAGTTTGTGCTTCACAGTTAAGTCAGTAAAGCTCCTTGCTTTTAGAAAAATTAAAATAGCAAAGCAATAGAGTCACAGCAGACTAGTGTTAAAACACAGCTAAATGAAGTGGCTGGCTTATACTGAGATTGAAAACTTATTGGTTAATATTGTTTCTACTTATCTGTTCCTATTAAATCTTCATGGATGCAAGCAACTTGTGCACCTGCACAACTCTTCCAGAAACAGCCATATCTACTACCCCAATCTTCATTACATACCATCTCATTTAGTAAAACACACAGAATATCTTGCCACCACTGTTCCTCTCCAATTACTGGACTACAGTGAACCCAGGTATTAGAAGAGCGCAGAAACTATTGTTCAGCTTTTGTTTGTGTTTTGGCAGCACAATTTGATTTGGAATGTTTGGGTTCATGTGTTGGCGCTAATTGAAGCAAATTGGGCTCACCTTCTTCTTTCTGGAAGTCCACTTTCCCTCCAGCCCTGCTATCCACTTCCTTTCATCTGTCCAAAATCAAGCCTCACCCAAAATGTGCATTTTATTTTAGACAACATTGCAGGTATATGAGCCTCCAGACATGACTGAAATATACAAGGCCCTTAAAAAAATAAAGAGTTAAACATGTTTAACTGGGGTGTTAGATTATTATAAGCTGTTACTGTGTCTAGACTTTAAAAACAAAGGACTGAGACTCAGTATGTGGTAGTGTGTTTAACCTATTTGAACTGGGGATACCATGAGAATATATATTATACTGACACTTGAATTACTATCAATAATATTTGAAGCTCTTTATTATTATTTTTTAATGAAATGCAAGATATACTTTGTTGATATAAGCAAAACTTATGGAGAAAATGGAAATACAACAATGATTTATTCAGGTCCTCTTCCTTGTAGTTTCTCTGATGTCCCAAGGATATATAAAAAGCTTTCACACAGTTTGTATACCTTTATATAGTGAACAGAGAGAAATCTCTTCAGCATTCAGGGTTTTCTTTTTTTCTCCCCACCCCCACCCCCCAGCCCGATCCCCACAATTCCTGATAGTTTATAGTAGACTTTAGAGACTGGTTAAGATTTAAGATTTTAATAGTGCTGTACAAACATATAACAAAAAGTTTTTCCTTTCATCTCAGTTTTGTTTGTGTCTAGATATTTAAAACCGTATAGAAAGGTTTCACAATACCATCTGTCTTCAGAAATTTGCAGCTGCCAAGACCATGTACATACATAACTACATCTAAACATATATACAGATAAGCAAATGAGTTATTTTATCTCTCTATTACATTGGTCAGATAAATAGCAAATAACCAATTCTTTTTTTATATATCTCTCACGAACTTTCTATACTTAATTATATGACTCCACTTAATAGAACAGAGTGCACATCACGGAAAACACTAGAGGAGAAGGTGGAGCATTGAGCTGCTGACACATCTTGACACAGATGCACTTTTTGCTCCCTGTGTTGTGCAAGCACCATCTAGTGTACGTCTTAGAGCCGTCAGCATCAAATGAGTAGCGTACACCCATCTAGGTAGTACAAACAGAAAGGTATATAACCTACTCCTTCCTGCCTCATTATACCTCTGACACATGACCAGAGGGAAAAAATCATCAGTGAACACTATGTTTCTTAACAAATTAAGTGAATATCTTTCAGTTTAGTTCCATGCAACAGTATTGACTTCATTTTTGTGACTCTATGTTCCTTGTACTTCCCTCTGTTGTAAGAAAACATCCTGGATACTTCAGCAAAACTTCACACAGTTTGCAACAGACTCCTTAGTTTAAACTTGCACTAGGGACTCACTGACCACGTAATATTCCTTTATTTTTCCCAAGCAAACAAGTTACAATGACCTCAAACACTTTCAGTTCAGACAAGGAACATTAAAAGGAGCTGATTCAGATTTTGTCTTCACTGAGCTGAAATGGATTGATCGCCTCCAAAATATCTGTATATGATCTTCCTGACTGCATCACAACAAGGCCTTCTGTGGTCTCAAAATCAGATTACTAGTGCACATGCATGCGCAAAGCATCCTCCTGCTGATCCAAGAAGAGGGAGGGTGGTTGCTAAGCGACAGAGTCCATACCCTTCCCAAAGCAGACATTCCTCAAATAAGCATATGGGGCTGGAAAAGGTGGTCCTCTACCTGCAAACAGTCACCATTCTTCACATCCCAAATCCTGTGTGTGAATTAAACTTAATACTCTCCCTTTTAATGAAAAAAAAAAAAAAAGTATTCTAAACAAGATCCCCCCTCCAACCTAAAAGTCAACCAACATTTAAAAATGTAACTCTGATTTATATGTATGAGGTGAAGCTGGTGAAGCAGCCCCCTTCTATCTCTGTGAAGTGTTTCCCTGGAGCTTAAAGACAGAGTTCTGCAATTTCAAAAATAGCATCTGATTTTGAGTTTGCAGTTGCCAGGTGCCAAACTACAGGCATTAATTACTACTATTCAGCACCTATGAAAATCAAGCCCTCCAGCCATGCTTGCAAAATAAAACCTCAGTAAGAACACAGGTATTGGTCCTTGATATGGGGAAGTGCAGAGCATCCAATGCTTCTGAAAGCTTCAAAGGCTTTCACAAATTATTGAGGTAGTTACACTGCTTAATTTCCACTTCAGTTCACTCTTCAATTAGCGAAAAGGGCTGGTATTCATCTCTGCCTCATCTCTCTGCCTTTGACACTCCTTAAATGACTAAACTTTTCAGTGCTACACGTACCCACAAGACTGGACTTGTCACCTGAAGTCTCAGCCTGCTCCCTATTTGGCCTTACAGACATGCTATTCCTCCCTAAGTTGTTACTGAAATCAACTTCACCCATCTTGACACTAAATGCAACGTGAAATACCTCAGTATGACCTCCAGTTTTTGTTTACAAATAGTGTACATTTTCCAGCTGTAGATACATCAGATACCACAGAGTTTCTAAAATGAAAGAGGTATGGATTTCTGGAGTAATGGACTCATCCTCTAGCTCATACACCACATCTAGTCTCTAATCTCAGGCCTAGACTAATTCATCCTCTGGGGCTTGGCTGAATTGCCTCTAAACATATGTCTAGGGTTACTGAAAAGCCTTAAATTTCAGCCTTAAATGGATACAAGATAGGATGAACAGGTGACCTGTACAAACCTGGAGCAGCAGATGAAGGTATGGTAGAGATGCCTGCTAGAGGGCTCGATCTAGCTAAATTGCTTCAAATGTCAGCATACAAGGTCATTTAAGCAACTGCATAAACTCCCAGATGTGTTGAAGTCTAAATTAATGTATTAAATATGAAATTGAGTCATGCCTTAGGGATCAGCTTTAGGCTGAGTAGGATCTTTTTCTTGATGCCATTGGCTGTATTGACCAGACACTTGTTTTCTATTGGGAAATTTAGAACATCTGTCACATATACAGACATGAAATTTGGTATTCTGCTTTTAGGACCTCCGTTCCTAAGGCTAGGTAAGGTGTCTGAAATTACTGTTTTATTTACTCATTAAAAAAAAATATTAAACCCAGGTATTTTTCTTCTCTCCGACACTGTAGATCAGTGTCTTGATATAACTTCAGTAGTTTAGTTGTGACGTTTATATTAAGAAAGCAACATTGGTTGTATGACTGATTGGTTGTATGACAAGTTTCTTCCAATAATGATAAATATCACTGTTCTTTCAGAATCTGGGGCAGCTTGCACAATGTTTTGTTAAGCACACTATGACATGTATTTTGTTTTTCTTTTTTCATTGCAAATCACACGCACACAGTTGCACGTGATGGATGAAGAGAGAAAAAGGAAAACCATCACAGATGCAATGAAATTTTTTCAGCAAAGCCTTCAGAGTGATTTCATTCTGTATGGATTGGCACGAACAATCTTTCTAAAGTGTCTGAAGACTGGCTTTCTGGGGATTAAGGTAACTTCAAGTAAAAAGGTATCAAGCAGAAGACTGGTTTTGGAGGCAGCAGCTACTAATAATTCCTATGACATTTCTGACTTTTTTCCTTTATTTTTAAAATATCTTTTTCTGGGCAATATATCCCATCAGGTGACAGTTTTATTTCAATAACAGCCAGATTCTACTGGTTTTAA